TTCATCTGGGGATAATGCAGCTGTGTGGACTCCAGGCAGCTCCTGAGCAAGGCTTAGTACCTGTGAGGACTGCAGGAGTCCCCAGTGGCAGAGACTTAGGTGGTCATGGTGGTAATGTGGGCAGTTCCTCTTGCCTACCTTTTCCCTGCAAGGAGAAGTCCTTCCTGATTCCAGATTGATCCTGAGTGAGGGGTGGGGTGCCAGAGGTGAGGTATTTCCTTCCTCTAAGAGGCCATCCTGGTTTTCTGCAGTCTACAGGGTTTCTGCTACTCATTTGATATATTCCAGCATTCTTCAGTTATTTCCATCAAAATGTAGTTCTTCTTTTGTGGATTTGGCTATCCTTTGGGTGGGGGGTGGGCACAAGCAGAAGGAGCTTCTAGTCAGTCATCTTGCTGATGCCATTAACTTTAGCTTTTATCAGAGGATATCATGATGAGATTTCACAAACCATTTCTCTCCCTGTACTCCTTAGTACAGTACAGTCTCTCTTACCTGAGTTGGTGCTTAACAAATGCTTCTAGAATGAGGAGTTGCGTACAGTAATGAGCTAATTAATTGAGTGAACATGAGCGCCCTGACATCCCCTTTGGAAGGACAGACTGCTTCTGCAGGCAGTAGTAAGTGATTTGAGCCACCATCAATGACTGTGGCCTGGTGCTCCAGTGATTTCAAAAGCCTCTTTCTGTGGAATTGGCTTTTGCTCTTGCTCCATGAAACATCTGAACTAAAAGAGGGACAGCACAACTATTGAATACATTATTGAGTACTAAAGAAAGTAAGACACACCTTCATTCTCTGGATGATTCTGTATCTGGAACCACATCACAGTTGCCATTACTCTAGAGCAGGGGTCAGCAAACCTTTTCTATAAAGGACCAGATAGTAAAGATCTTTTACTTTGTGGGCTCTTGTTACAACCAATTTACCCTTGTAATACCAAAGCAGCCTCAGACAATATGTAAACAACCAGGTGCATTGTGTTCCAATAAAACTTAATTTATAAAAATAAGCAGTGGGTCAGTTTGGCTCCTGTGGCCCTAGTTTGTTGGCCTCTGTTGTAGAGTGCTACATGACCTCTCATGTTCTTTTAAAATTATTATTAATTAAAAGGTGCTCATTTTGTGGAGATATGTCAGAGGAAGGGAACATGCCTAGCAAGTGTGAGGCTCTGGTTTTGATCCCCAGCACACAAAAATAAAATAAAACAAAATGTGTTCATTATCCTGTTCTTTTTCATTGCTTTTATGGTGGCCAATGAAAGGGTTGACTTATTTTGAATAGCAAGATTTTCTAAAATTACTTTTAAAGGCACATGCGGTCAGGTTGGGCAGGAGGTGAAGTGTATGTCCATAAAACATGGCTATTTAACAGAATGCCATGTCCTTCCCCAGACCCCAATCAACTCAGCTTCATAACCAGTCCCTTCTCACTCCTGTCCTCCACAGCGAGGGCCCCTCTCATATGACCCCAAGACTCTGCCTCCCTCTAGCCAGCATGACACTGGGGCAAGACTAGCCACAGCTCTCCCCCTCTCTTCTGTCACTTCAGCCTTGATACAAAGCTGTGAACTGAGTTTATGCTGACCATACAAACTCTCTGGAACCTCTTTAGTTCCCTCCCCAAAATACTGAGTTTGGCTTATGGTTGGCAGCCTTTGGTACCCTGCCCCTTCCTTCACCTGCCCTTCTCACTCACTTGCTAATCTTTGTTCCAAGTTAAAGGATTATCATGAGGTTGAAAAAGCCAAGGTTTTTTCTCCACCATATTTTACTCCCCTAAGGACATGTCTTTGAGTCTAGATTGGCCCATGCAAAAAAGTCTGGCTGGCAGTTTTACTGGCTTTCTTTCAACAAGGAGAGTGAAAATGCTGGTTGCCAAGCAACACATATGCCATGACTTCTTACAACAATGTGAGGTTCAAAAAAAATAGCAAGAAACATTTGTCTATATCATCAAATCATGAGCGGGAATCCTGTGGGACAGGCAGGGCAAGCAGGTTGATACAACAACATAATATCTTTTCATTCCAACTTTGGTGTCTTTCCCTGGAGACTCACCTGGAGAGACAGAGGAGCAGGCCTTCAGCTCGGTGCAACTGACGGACAGACTTATCATGAAGAACCCCGTAGTACAGTCAGTCACCACCATTTGTAGATTCCATAGTTGCAAATATTCCTACTTGATAAAATTTCTTTCTAATTTTTTAGTTAGCTTTTTCACTGCTGTGACTAAAAGGGCCAACCAGAACAATTGTAGAGGAAAGATTTATTTGAGGGCTCACAGGTTCAGAGGTCTCAGTCCATAGAAGCCCAGCACCATTCCTCGGAGCTCCAGGTGAGGCTGACCATCATGGCAGAAAAGTGTGGTAGAGGAAAGCAGCTCACATGATGATCAGAAAGCAGGGAGAGGGGTCTCCACTTGCCAGATACAAATATATACCCCAAAGCCACAGCCCCAATTCCCACCTCCTCCAGCCACACCCTACCACTTCAGTTACCACTCAGTTAATCCCTATCAGGGGATTAATTCACTTATTTTGTTAAGATCCTTATAACCTAATCATTTCTCCTCTGAACCTTCTTACATTGTCTCACACGTGAGCTTTTGGGGGACACCTCATATCCAAACCATAACAGTAATCCCTGAACAATACTCAACACACTTCAGAATCATTTCAGGACTTAGAGAGTGGTGGAGACTTTGAGTCTCCAACCCATATGTTCCCCATTGAAATGGCACAAGGTGCTACTCTGCCTTCTTGTGTCTGCTCTTCTATTTATAAACAAATGTGCTTTCAAGTTGATGTACTGCTACGTGGTTTTTGTTTTGTTTTGCATTTTTGTGTTTTTGTTGGTGATTTCACTGTTTTAAATGATCCCGTGCATGGTGCTAACGTGTTGTCTAATGTAACAAAGGGCACGAAGGCTGTGATGTGCCTTGTGGAGAAAACACACATGTTAAATAAGCTTCACTCAGGCCTGAGTTACAGTGCTGTTGACTGCAAGTTCAATATTAATGAATCAATACAATAGTACATTCAGAAAAAGAAAGAGGAAATTCCCTGATCTATATGTAAGGCCATTCCAGAAAGTACTAAGCTAATATCCGTAGTACATAATGAAGCTATAGAAATGATTTTTAAAAGTAACTGAATTTGTAGATTCATGAGATGATGAACAGTTAAGGGAAAAAAAAATCTGTAGCACAGAGTATTGTTGTGAGGCCAAAAGCCAAAGAAATTTATGGTCATATTACGCTGGTTCAGGAAATTATTGAACCCTTCTTGGTTAGTGTTTATTATAAAGCAATACTGCATATGTTTTAGTACTTATAAGGAATAGGTATTAAATAAGTTATCTTTCAACAGAAATACATATAAACCAAGGTTGTGTAATGCCAGTTGATGAAACTGTTGTGATAGGATCCTCACCAGAGGCTCACTAAACCATGCATTTCCCCCAAAAGTCATGGACAATTATTCACTAATTCAGCACTCACAGGTATTTTATAGAACCTATATGATCACAACTATCTCAAATGGAGCCCATCTTCTGCATCCCATATTGAAGACAAGGCCCAGGTGCACTGTCTTTGCCATGATAAGACTCAACCTTCCCACTGAACGGCTATGTCCACGACACGTTCTTCCTGGACGTGAAGGGAGTTAAATGTATGCAGCTAGTCCCTGGTGCCCCCCCACACACACCTCCCTTATTGTTCCTTTCACCACTTCTGTCACTGGTTATTTTGCAAAAGGGAAGCCCTGGTATATTTATAAACTGTCCTGGTACTGAGCCATTGTGAGCTCAGCATCCCTGAACAGACACCTTAATTGGTCTCAGATGGGAAGGAAAAACTATCACACCACAGTCTCTCCTCCCTGAAGCTGGATTCAGGTCACGTGTGAAATGGCCTCTTGTCTGTTGACAGTGGCCTGCATCTCCCACAGTCTGCTGAACTGGACATTCCCTCCCCAGGGGGTTCTGATGTGCAGATGAACTCCTCTCATCTGGTATACAAACACATCGCAGAGATATGAACATAGGGCATGGGAAACACAGAGGCGGCCTCAGCCTTCAGGGGAGGGGATGCTCCAGAGATGAAATGACACTTGGCAAATGCTGCTGATGAAGTAAGCAGAGGCCTTTTAAAAGCAAGACAGAAAAAAATGGTAGAACAAGTATAGGAATGGAAAAAAAAAACAAACTTGAGACATTCCTTTAGGACAATTCTTAAAGTGTCCAGAAACACAATCGGTAAACCTCATTATCACCACTCTGGACACTCTGGCCCCACACAGCAACTGAAAAGTTCCCAGAGGAGGCCTTTCTAGAAAGTTCTTTCAATTGCTGAGCAAGTGAGTATTTGGGCTTGTGTCTGTGTTTCTCCACTTATCAGGAATACAAATACTTTTTTCCTTCCGTGCTACTAGATGCAAATATGAGAATTAAGAGACACTGAGGATAAAGTGGTTCCAACTCCTTGTAAGACATTTTGCATGCATTATAAACACATAGATCTTCAATACAAGTTCTCAGCAGGGAACTGCTTTTTGTTACAGAGATTGCCTGTGTTCACAAACTTGCAGAGAAAGGCAGTGTATGCAGATAGCACGCTGAGTCACTGGTCACAAAGTCATTTTCTCCTGATCCCTCTTCCCATTTCTATTCCCAGGCCTCATTATATGCAATGTCATATGCACACAGACACACAGGAACACCCCATCACAGCCAGGACAGAAGTGCCCAGGGAGGTGTTTGCATGAATTTCATCTTTGGAGTAAGAAGCACTTGCTCAGCTGCCAACCACAAATAGCCCCATGCTCCCATGCTGGAAAATGATGCTAATTGGTGTGCCATTAAAAAAAAAAAAAAAAAAAAAGGAAGAAAAAAATACCAACCACAACAAAATAACCATGTACAGACCTAAAGTCCTACCCTGACAGTCAATGTGAAGCATGGCCCACTAATGCAGCCCTAATTCACTTTGTTTGGCAGAGAGAGCAAGCTCACCATGCTGCTTCGGGAGTCTCTGGGGAACATGAACTGTCGCACCACCATGATCGCTCACATCTCTGCTGCAGCTGGGAACTATGCAGAAACCCTGTCTACCATCCAGATTGCATCAAGGGTCTTGAGGATGAAGAAGAAAAAGACGAAGGTAAGCAGTTCCCAGTGGGTGCAGTGGGTAAAGGAGTTTTGGAGCCTTGCCCCAGAACTGAGTCAGAGAGAGAGTCAAATCAATATTGCTGATCCCCAAACACAGGGGTGCATGTGAAAGCATCACTGCTGTGGTCCCCACCTGGGGACAGGGAAACCTTCCCACTGACAGGAGAGAGTCAGGTCTTTTGCTGGCCCTGGACATCCAGCTTGACCCCTGACAGGTAGTGCTTGGCATGCTTTAGATAGATTTTGAGATGAAAAATGTTGGAGAGATGGAAATTATTCAGTTTTTCTCTTGCCTGACTGGCTCCTATGTAGATGAAGACTGTGTCCTTCAATGAGTCAACTCTAAAGAGGGTTATTAACTTTTTGCTCATGTGGCCCTATTGCCCACCCCCATGTTCAGGAGTGATTTCCTGGCTACTGGAATTGTCGTGTTAATTCAATGTTTTCTGTTTGATACCGAGTCTGCTAGATGCCACTGGGCTCCTTTCCTCTGGCAGAAGCAAACCCTGGACAGTGGCAGCTTGGCAAGAATGCCTGAGAGGACCATGGTGGTTGTGGCCACTCAGATCGGGGGGGGCCAGTGATTAACATGTGGGAGGGCTTTTCTTTCCTTCTCCTTTATGTATTTTTAATGGGGGGATGGAGTATAAAACAGGGTTTCCCAACCAACGTTCTGTTGGTTGTATTCAGGAATAGCCCTTATGTGGTCAGAAGGGGACTGGATCTCCTCTCCTGAGCAGCCTCTGATTCGTCAGTGGGCCATATAGGGATTATCTTAAGCACATAAAGCTATGATGTGGAACATTGGGCACTCTGGCCTGGCCCACTGGAGTCATGGTTCCACTCTTCAATGCGGGAAGTCAACCCGGGGGACCTTCTGTAGCTCCTGTTGAGTCAGTGGCTTCTACCATTTACCACATAATGTCAGGCTCCCTGGGAGGGCTGTCTCAGAGGCGCCACATGTTAACTGTTCTCTCACTCATAGTACACGTCGAGCTCCTCTGGTGGAGAAAGCTCCTGTGAGGAAGGCAGAATGCGCAGGCCCACCCAGCTGAGACCCTTCCATACCAGAGCCACGGTGGACCCCGACTTCCCCATTGCGCACCTGTCCAGTGATCCTGACTACTCCTCCAGCAGCGAGCAGTCTTGTGACACTGTCATTTACATCGGGCCTAATGGCACAGCCCTCTCCGACAAGGAGCTCACCGACAATGAGGGCCCCCCAGACTTTGTTCCCATTGTGCCTGCCCTGCAGAAGACCAGAGGTGACAGCCGGCCCACAGAGGCAGGAGAGGCTGCAGCCAGCAAATCAGAAAGGGACTGCTTGAAGTGTAACACATTTGCTGAGCTGCAAGAGAGACTAGACTGCATTGATGGCAGCGAGGAGCCCAGTAAGTTTCCTTTCGAAGAGCTGCCTGTACAGTTTGGGGCAGAGCAAGCGAGTAAATGCCCCTCGTTAAGCCAAGTGGCTGGGGCAAACTCACTTTCTGAGTCCGATAAGGAAGACAACGGGTCAGATGGCCAGCTGACTGATCGGGAAGGCACAGACAACCTGGCCTGTAAGATGCAAAGGAATCACTCCCCTGTGCCTGCCACAGCACGCAGCAGCAGCCCCACCCCAGCCTCACCCCGAAGCATCCCAGGCAGCAGCAGCCAGATGGTGCAGAGCCCCAGCCTCCAGAGCAGCCGGGAGAGCCTGAACTCCTGTGGCTTCGTGGAGGGCAAGCCCAGGCCCATGGGCTCCCCCCGGCTGGGCATTGCCAGCCTGTCCAAGACCTCTGAGTACAAACCCCCCAGCTCTCCTTCCCAGAGATGCAAAGTCTACACCCAGAAGGGGGTCCTGCCAACTTCTGCCCCACTGCCACCCTTGAGCAAGGATTCTGGCATGGTCTCTAGCGAGTCCTTGCTGCAGCCTGAGGTACGTACCCCTCCAGTTGGAATGAGCCCCCAGGTTTTGAAGAAATCTATGTCTGCTGGAAGTGAGGGGTTCCTAGAAACCCCTGTTGAGGATGAGCATCAGGCAGCATCTCCCCCAGACTCCAAGAAGGAGATCCTGAGCACCACAATGGTGACCGTGCAGCAGCCACTGGAGCTGAACGGGGAGGACGAGCTGGTGTTCACGCTGGTGGAGGAGCTGACCATCAGTGGGGTCCTGGACAGTGGCCGCCCCACCAGCATCATCAGCTTCAATAGCGACTGCTCTGTGCAGGCCTTAGCCTCAGGCTCCCGGCCTGTCAGCATCATCAGCAGCATCAGCGAGGATCTGGAGGGCTACTCCAGCATGGCTCCTGTCTCTGAGGTGAGCATCACACAGTTCTTGCCCCTTCCGAAGCTGAACCTGGATGGGAAGCCCCGGGAAACAGGCAGCAGGCGTTCCTCCATCAGCTCCTGGCTTAGCGAGATGAGTGCAGGAAGTGATGGTGAGCAATCATGTCACAGTTTCATAGCCCAGACATGTTTTGGGCATGGGGAGGCCATGGCAGAACCTCCAGCCTCGGAGTTTGTTAGCAGCATCCAGAACACTGCTGTGGTGTGCAGAGAGAAGCCCAAGGCAGGCTCTGATAACCTGCTCATCTTGTCTGAGGTCGGGGAAGACTCTTTCAACAAAGCCACCCCCATCAAAAGCTGCAAAATATCCACACTGGGCAAGGCCATGGTCACCATCTCCAATACAACCAACCTGAGCAATTGCGAAGGGTACATCCCCATGAAGACCAACATCACAGTTTACCCCTGCATTGCCATGAGCCCTCGGAACGTACAAGAGCCTGAGGCTTCTACTGCCATCTCCAAAACAGCTGCCAGAGCAGCCTCGTCCCAGGAGAGTAAAGAAACCAGTGCAAAGAAAGAGATGAAATTTGAGGACCCCTGGCTAAAACGAGAAGAGGAAGTGAAAAAAGAGAATGCTTTTCCCAGTGAAGAAGGGATTAGGTATGAGACTGCCACAGGCCCTACTAAGCCTGAGACCAGACCAGAGCAAGAACAGGACAGGAAGCCCAGCCCGGGCGACAGGCTCAGCAGCAGCAGTGGAGAGGTATCTGCCTCCCCAGTGACTGACAACTTCAAGAGGGTTGTGGATGGCTGTGAAATGGCTCTGCCTGGTTTGGTGGCCCAGAGCCCAATGCATTCCAGCAAAAGCCTGAAATCTAGCAGCCTTCCTAGAGCATTTCAGAAAGCCAGCAGACACGAGGAGCTGGACAGCCTCTTCTACCACTGCAGTGCCGACACCAATGGCCTGGGGACAGCATCAGGCACCCAGGCCTCTAAGGCAACCCTGGAGCGCAAGGTGGCTTCACCCAAGCATTGTGTCCTTGCCCGTCCTAAAGGGACTCCCCCTCTGCCCCCTGTCCGCAAGTCCAGCTTGGACCAGAAGAACCGGGCCAGCCCCCAGCACAGTGCCAGCAGCAGCAGCACCAGCAGCCCCTTGAACCAGCCAGCCACCTTCTTGGCCAGCTTCCCTGATGAGCCCAGCAGCAAGGTGAAGGACGCCAGTAGCAGCAGCAAGCTCTTCAGCGCCAAGCTGGAGCAGCTGGCCAGCAGGACCAACTCTCTTGGCAGAACAACAGTCAGCCACTACGAATGCTTGTCGCTGGAGAGGGCCGAGAGCCTGTCCTCCATGAGCTCGCGACTGCACGCTGGCAAAGACAGCACCATGCCCCGAGCTGGCAGGAGCCTGGGCCGCAGCAGCGCAGGGGCCTCACCACCCAGCTGCAGCGCCACCCAGTCAGCAGGGGCGTCGCCCAAGGCCAGCCAGTCCAAGATTTCAGCCGTGAGCAAGCTCCTCCTGGCCAGCCCCAAAGCCCGCAGCCTGTCCACCCCCACCACCAAAACCCTCAGCTTCTCCACCAAGTCGCTGCCTCAGTCAGTGGGCCAGAGCTCCAACGTGCCCCCCAGCGGGAAGCACATGTCCTGGTCCACCCAGTCGCTCAGCAGGAACCGAAGCTCTGGATTGGCTTCCAAACTGCCGCTGAGAGCAGTCAATGGGCGCATCTCCGAGCTGCTGCAGGGGAACGGGGGCGCCCGGGGTTTGCAGGTGCGGGCTGGACCCGAGGCGGAGGAGCGCAGTGGGGCCCCCGCGGAGGACAAGCCTGCAGCAGCGCACCTGCTGCCCTCGCCCTACAGCAAGATCACCCCACCGCGGAAGCCACACCGGTGCAGCAGCGGGCATGGCAGCGACAACAGCAGCGTGCTGAGCGGGGAGCTCCCGCCGGCCATGGGGAAGACTGCCCTCTTCTACCACAGTGGTGGCAGCAGCGGCTATGAGAGCATGATGAGGGACAGCGAGGCCACCGGCAGCGCGTCCTCGGCCCAGGACTCCATGAGCGAGAACAGCAGCTCTGTGGGCGGCAGGTGTCGGAGCCTGAAAACCCCAAAGAAACGGTCCAATTCAGGTAGGCACTTGGGGACAGGGTCCCAGGGAGGTAAAGGGCAGGTGTGTATGGGGTCCACTGCTCCCCTGTCCTCTGATGAGAGGACCTCCAGGATCTGGGGATTGAGGTCTCATCTCTCCTTTCTGATATCCTGTCACTTGTAGGTCTTGGCTAGGGATAGAACCGCAGAAGGCTTCATTGTAAAAACTTGTTGTTATGTGCATCATTAGACCTTGAGGATGCGGGCCCTCACTCTCAGCAGGGGGAAAGGCCAGGGTGCTGGATGCCCAGGAGCATCCATGAATCACTGGCTCTTCCTCCGTAGCATCTCCTTACCTGGTCCCTGAGCCATGGCTTTATTTGCTCAAGCACTGTACTACTTTTTAGAGGTCTCTGAGGGATCAGATCAGGTTCCCTGACCTCAGGACTACAGAAACCTGTATGTGGGACTGATGGTCTCCAAGACCTTGGCAGCCTCTCTCAGGGATGTAGCATACTTTGATTCATTGAAGGTGCGGTAGGAGAAGCCTTCCTCTACTCCCACCCCAAAGACAGTCATAGACAGTCAGGTATGGACTCCAGCCGAAGGGGTTGCACTTCTTCTGTTCACACACACAGTGCCACACCGTATAGACCCACTCATGCACTACCACCACCGTGGTGGGAGGGAGTCTTTGCCATCTCCAGGAATCTGTTGTCCAAAGGCACATACTCCAGAACTCAGGAAAACCACTGACATGTTTGTCTGAGTTTAGTGACATGTAACAGTAAGTTCTGATGGGCAAGGAGAAGAGAACTGAAGTACACACGGGGTAGGTGAGGTGAAAGACGGGAAGGAGAGAAGGAAGCAGGGAGACAGAAGCAAAAGGTACCAGGAATAACGAGATACTTGAGAATTTTGCCTGGAATCATTTCTATTCTTCAATGACTTCTAAAGAAATCGCCCTCATTCATTCTTTAGCCTCAGCATTCAAATAAAAAAAGAATAATGGCAAGCCCCAAATGCAATGCAATTCTGTGCCTTGGTTGAAGTGCAGGTGGCAAGGGGCCTGTCCTCCGCCACCCCTTCCCCTTCTGTGGAATTCTAGGCTCTTCAGAAGCCACTGCTTTGCAGAATATGGGTGTCAACAGCCTATTTGGGATTAAAAGATGGGGTGATGTCCAGAAAGGGGGTCCTTTTTCTACGGTGCCAGCTGCATCTGCAGCACCTGCTCCACAGACTTTTTCTATCAGTCATGACATTGCTTTTCCCTATTCCACCACCAGTGAGTTCCAGCTCTGGAATGTTCCAATCCAGATATAAGGACTCTGATCAGAGCACATCATAATCCTTTGTCTTCCTCAAATCAAAGAAATGGCCTTAAGGGATCATGCATTCATGCAGTTTTACATCCCCAGATGCCCCACCAGCCCACCCCACCCCATCACAACTCACAGAACATGGCTGTGAGGATGTTACATTCTAAGCATGTTTGGAAAACTTCATGGCTGTCAGCACCGTGACGTCTTTATTTCCCAATGGTGTGTGTTTCAGCATCTGATGCACTTGGTCTGTGCTCTGCTTCACCCACCTCAGTCTCAGCAGCAGACTTTGGAGCAGAACCCCCTATAAGACAAGTTGGAAGTGACAAGCTACTCAGTAAAACAAAACAGCTGCTTTGTCCTATCATCAGGGCCAAGGGCATTACAATGTGTTGGTATTAGTCACTAAACATAACAAAGTTTATCTATGCCACTATCTTTTTTTTAATATTTATTTTTCAATTGTAGTTGGACACAATACCTTTATTTTACTTATTTGTTTTTATGTAGTGCTGAGGATTGAACCCAGGGCCTCGCACGTGCTAGGGGAGCGCTCTACCACTGAGCCACAACCCTAGCCCTATGCCACTATCTTTGTGGGGAAGAAATATCTGCTTGCCCCCCAGTACTTGACTGACAAATCCTGTTATTTCAACCTACCCAGTGTTGATCTTCAAATCCAGACGATTGTGTGACATTTGCTATGTGGTCATCTGTGTTTTAGTGTTAGAGAGTGCTTTCATTAGTTCTCTCTAATTAAGCACCTTGAATTAATTGTTCTTTCACTGCTTTTTATTCTCTTTCAAGACTTTAATTTATTGGTTTGCCTGTTATAGTGGAACAAAGAGGAGGAAAAAGATGTGAAAGAAACAAATGTGTACAATAGCTCCTTGGAGAGTGGCCACAGGTTCTGCACATGACCTTGCTCAGGGCTGAGTCCTTTCACAGGCGCTGTCCTTTGAGGGTCTCTTTTTAGGAAGGCCTTTAGAGGAAATAATATGAAATTAAAATGTGATGGTAGGTGCTAGAGATAGGATTTCATATGGAGTGCCCAGAGCATCAGACCTTTGTGATCTGCTGCCACAGATCCGGGGCTCCATGATGGATTTGGTGGTGAAGTGAAGCTCATTTCAGGTTAGGTGACCTTGTCTCACTTGTTTATGATTATTATTAAGAGAAATGCTGGCTGTCAGGTGTGATAAGCATCCATCAAAAACCACTTCTTTAGGAGAAACCATAAAACCCCTCAAAGGAAAATCCCAAGTAGATGGCTAATGTTTAGAATTACCAGAGATGAGACAGGCAGTTGTCTTTTATTTGAGATGGCTTTTGAATTTGGAAAATTGTAATGCTTTGGTCATTTGCTTAACAAAAAGGAACTAGAATTTTATCATTGGGTAAATAACGGTGAGCACTCTGATTTCCTTGTGATGCATATAACAATAGAAACCATCAAATATCACCACAGTTCATTATTCCAGCCTCATTTCTAGAGACCCATGTTATTAGTGAAGAGTGAACACAATCAGGCTTATTCTTGTGGTCTTTGTGTGGAATGGTGCAGTGAGAAGATTAATCCAGAAAGTAGAAGACATGGGATCTTGAGTTGTGTGATCTCTCAGAAATAATTAGCCACTCTGGGCTTCAGTTTTCTCATGTACAAGTAAGGGATTTGGTAGATAATAGCCATGGTCTGCCTGCTGCCCACATCATAAGAGACTATGTCAATTAATACAAAGAATATTGATGGCAATATGACATCCTTTTCATAAGGCAACCCATTGTCAGTGAGCTTTATTTTTTATTTTATTTATATCTAATAGTTTCCCATTACTGTAACAAAATACCCAAGGCAATCAACTTAAAAAGAGCAAAGGTATACTTTTTATTGTGGTTTCAGAGATTCTGGTCCCTGATCAGACAGGCCTGTTGCTTTGGGCAACACAGCATAGTGAGGAGTGTGTGGTGAAGCAAAGTCACTTACCTCGTGGTGGCCAAGAAGCAAAAAAAAAAGAAGAAGAGAGAGAGAGTGGATTCTCATTACCCCCTTCAAGGGCATATCCCGGTGACCCAAGACCTCCTACTAGGCCCTGCCTCCTGAAGTTTCCACCACCTCCCAGTCATGCCACGGGCTGGGGACCAAGCCCATAACATATGGGCTTTGGGGTTATACCCAAAATTACACCACAGCACTTGTTAAGCATTCATCAGGCATGCACTCCTAGAGTTTAGTGATACAGAAGGTTCCAGTGAGGGAGGAGTGTCAGCAACATAAATTACAAGGTGACTGTAAGGAGTCTGTAATTTAATTAGAGAGAAAGGAAGAAAAGCATGAAATAGAGAACGGCAGGGGGGCGGGGACTGAGGGCTGCCCTGTGTGATTGGAGAGTACAGACATGTGCATATCAGGTATTTTAGGTAAAGGCAGGACTCTGTGAGTCAGAGCAATGGTAGAAGGCTGCAGGGAAATACCAGGCCGGGGCCCGGTGTTGAAGGATCCTGATATTTTCACAGGCAGAAAGGGGTGGAAGACACTGGAGGCTGAGGGAGTAATGGGAACTCAAGCTCCGAACTGCAAGACCACGATCAAGAGGGGCCTATTCTTATTGAGAGACTACAAAATGCAATCCCAGATTTAGTTACTCATTGACCATCCAGGAACTGAATAAAAGTGCCCTCTATCTTATACTCTATATCAGTCTCTAAAACTAGAATAAGAATATATATTATTGTAGTTGGCAGTGGGGAGTCACTACAGGTTACTTTAAGGGATGGATTTTTCATTCATCCTCACACAGTTCCTAGCCGGCCCCTCTGTGGTCAGTGACGTGAAATTGTATATAGCCTAGGGCTATGAATTAGAGTAATGTCAGCCAGCCCAAGAGGGGATCCCATGTCTGTCCCAGACAGAAGGCATGTAATTTGCTGAGAGTCTATCAGTCTATCAGTGGGTGACTTGTGACAGATGCCAAGGTAGCAACGGTCAAGCCCCTATCCTAACACTACCACCTCCCTCTCGAGTCTCACCTCAATCATCACCCAGAGCCTCTTTATCTTCTTCCCATGGTCCTTCATTCCACCCTGCCCTCTTGGCTTCTTTCCCTGAGCTGGAGAGGAAAGGCCAAGAATTAGATGAGCATCTTGGCCTGAATGAATCTCATACCTACTGCAGGGAGCCTAGGCCTGCTGCGATCCAGCATCCAGAAAGCTCCAGGGTGAGATAGGGTCTGCCCACAGAGAAGCAACCCCAGGAAAGCCTGCTTGTTCTGAGACACACGGAGGCCTTGACCTGATGGGACATGAGCTTCTACACGTCCTGTTTGCCCCTGCCTCAGCCTGCCTGAAACTCAGCACTGAGCAGGTGCAGGTTACCATTGAATACCACTGATTGATGCATCTGTTGGTTGGTTGGCAGCGTATCCCTAAAATTCAGCTCATATTTCTTTTCTATGTATTTTTCTTATCTTGTTCTGTTGGTGATAAGTGCTTGAAATGTTGAGTCTGGTCTCCTATTTCCTTTGTCAAAAAAGCACCAATCACGTGTCTTCCCTTCTCTTGGTGTCAGATAAACATTACGGACTGATGGGCCCATCTTGTGGGTTGTGATTTGCCACCTGTAGTGAATTGAGCTCCAGGGATACCAGGTTCAGTTCACAGAGTGCTACACAAGTATCTGTGACTAATCGCCCCTCGCCAGTGCCTGAGAGCACCGCGGTTTG